CACACACACATACACATGCACGCAAGGCCATTCAAGCAGTATAAGTAGAGGATTCTAAGATAAGTCACTTGTTCAGTATTGCTTAATGATAGATATAAAAAAAATGTATAGATAGCCCAAGTTGATTTGAACGTTATTTTTGTTTTTAACCAAAAAGTCATTTAACAAACATAACAGAACCATGTGGTTTACTGGGTTTGATAAGAAACCTCACCAACATGCAGATTAGCCTTCACGTTTTCGGTTTTTGCAGCCGTCAGATAAGCAGAAAAGAGGCCACCAGACTAACCATCCATGTCTTATCAGCAAACTGCTATATGGGCTGTTCCACGTAAAATGTTGCCTCCAGAACATTTTTTTAATGCATCGAACAAAAATATTATTAATGTATATTGAAGCATACGGTATTAAAAAATAACTTGTTCTATGTTAGTTATCTTATTTTCGTGATCATGTGACATGGCGGCCATCTTGGAACATGTCTATTTGTTACCCTACTGAAAAGAGGCAACTGTGACCCTGTAAGAAAGTCAATGCTTTCCATCTGTGACGGAACAGGTAAATGTAAACCATTTCTTGCTTTAATAGAGGTGCAAGACCAGTACCATAAACTATCTAAAAGTATTGGATCACATCTTTAAGGTTGTTGTTGTTGTTGTTGTTGTTATCGATCCAGCAACATCTGGGCTCTCGCCCTTCTGTCCAATGCCATGTAGTGATAAGTGCAGGTTTGCTGCAGTTGCTGTAATGTTCCGTAGAGTGTGTTGTCGAAGTTAGGTCTCGGAGGGAGAAGGGTAGCTCTGATGTCATTTAGGGCTGTACAGTGGAAAAGGTGATGTTCCACTGTCTCATATGCATAGTCACACAAAGGACACATTGGGGGAAGTTCTGGTTTTATTCTGTTCAAGTGAAAGTTGAGCTGTATATGTTCTGTTCGTAGGCGGAAGATCGTGGTCTGTTTCTTTCTCTGTAGGTGGTTAATATTGTCATTTCGTTTTGTTGTTGTCATATGTTTGAAAACTGCTCTGCCTGTCTTTCCCAAGGCCCATCGGTTCATCCAATCTTGTTTGCTGTTGCTTTTAATGATTTGTTTTGCAGTGTGGTATGAAGTTGGAATGTTGGGTTGTTCCTGTCTAGATCCCCTTTTGGCGAGTGTGTCTGCTCTGTCATTTCCAGGTATGTTTGAGTGTCCGGGAATCCACTGCATCACCAGGTTGACGCCACAGAATGTTTTCAGATGATGGGAGCCAAACAGTATATGTGTCAAGTCTTCGTTTAGATGGTGATCATTTTCTATTGCTTGCAAGACTGATAGTGAGTCAGTGAAGATCACTATACTCTGGCTTTTTTTTTGGATGAGTGTCAAAAACTGTGCGGAGATGGTATAGTGCTGTTTCAATTTGCTATCATTTCTGCGTCGTAGTTGTTGCATTTCTCTCCACAGGCTGCAGAGATCTCATTGGAACTTCCATCTGGGTACTGTATTAGTATTCCATATCCGGCTTTGGTTGTGCCTTTGAATGCTGAGCCGTCTGTATAGACGTGTATCCAGTCATCTGAATAGCTGTCGATTGTTTGGTGTGAAGAAATCATCAACTTCACTGGGTCTGAAGATTTTGTGCTATTGTCTTTGAGAGAAGTTTTAATTATTGGTTTTTCCATAGAAATGTGGGGAGGGATGTTTTGGTTGACTCTTTTGGTTTCTCTTCTGTTTTGTGGTAGGTGGTGGCTCTCCATTAGTTCTGTGATGCGATGCATGACTGATTTTTGTTGAAGTCGTTTCTTTGGTTTCCATGTTTCTACTAATTTCCTGTTTGGGTGGTTGGGGCACATTCTTTTGGTTCTTTCATGAAGCTCCAAAACTGCTTTATCTCTGCGTATTCCCAGGGGTTCAACATTTGACAGAATTTCACATGCGGCAGTAGGTGTAGATCTCATGCCACCATTAATGAAACGAAGGGCATTATTTTGGACCTTGTCAAGGGTATTGCAAGTAGTTGCACTACACATAGTGAGTAGGCTATAGCTGTATTCCAGGGAAGATCGGACATAACCAAGGTATAGAGCTCTCAAAGTTTGTTTGTCTGATCCCCATGAACTGCTCGCAAGTTTCTTTAAAAGTTGGAGTCTTCTTTTCGCCTTGTTCTTTATGCTCTCCACTTGGCTTTTCATTGTTAGACTTTGGTCAAGTTTGACTCCTAGATACGTTGGTTGTTCTTCTTTGAGGAGATTTTCATTTCCTATCTTCAGTTGGAGTTTTTCTTTGGCTATTTTATGGCTCTTTGTAAAGATGGTGTATACTGTTTTCGAGCAGTTTATTTTGAGCTTCCATTTCTGACAGTAATTGTGGAGCCTCTTGAGGTCTTCATTTAATTTTCCTGCTCCTACTACCGTGCTGCGATGTGTCTGCCAGAGAGCAAGATCATCAGCGTAGAGAGTCTTTTCTGATTTCAGCACGTTCGTCACATCATTAATGAAGATCAGGAACAAAGTGCAACTCAGACAGGAACCTTGGGGTAGGCCCTCCTCGAGTACTTCTCTTGACGAGTGGGCATTGTTCACCTTTGTTTCGATGTTTCGATCCGCAAGGAAAAACTTGATCCATTTATAAAGTTTCCCGTGTATCCCGAGGTCCATCATTTTCATGAGTAGGCCTTTTCTCCACACTCTGCCATACGCCTTGTGGAGATCTACAAAGATGGCAACAGTGTGTTTAGTCTCCTGGAAACCATCCTGGATGTCTTGACTTAGTTTGAAAAGTTGGTCTTCCGTGTTGCTGCCTTTTCTAAAGCCTGCTTGGTGTGAGTTCAAGCTGTTGGAGTTTTCCAGGTACCAGTAAGGTAATGGCCGGCACTTTAAATATTATGATCATTTCACTGCTCCTTCAGTTACCATTTTGGTTCAAAATAATAAGATCGTTATGTTGTATCTCTTTTATTATTCGTTTTGTTTTAAAACATGAAGCTTCATATTCTCTGATTTCGCTATGGTCCTGTTCATGTGGGTGCAATAATTTCTTTTTTTATAATCAAAAATACGTTAAAATGTTAAGTGACGGGACGGTAACTGACGGAACAACATACTAACTGACTGGACCTGTGGTTAGGTGGACATACTATCTATCAATACCTTTTATAATCTTTTGAAAAAAGCCCCCAGCTTGTTAGCGGTAAAAAAAAACCTGAACAAATTTAATGTAAACGTACATTATTAACATAATTTTTTGAGCAGCACTGTCATCGAATAATAATGAATATGGTACAATATCATCAAAGTAAAATGGATATCACCAGGGAATTGTATATGGCTGAGGCCAAGTTCTAAGAGGGCTCTTTCGGCAACAATTTTACCCAAAATGATTATATTTAACGCATTCACTCATAGTGTTTGAATGGTCCAGTATTAAACTAAAATGTATTGGCAAATGTCATCTTTTGTTGGGTTTTTTTTAGCACAATAATGACAAAGGCACCCTAATCCAAAATGCTACTGTTACGCGTCTGTTTCACTGCCAGTATAATTTAATGCACTGAACGCTTGTGCCTAAAACCCTCTTTCCATCCCCTCAAGCTACACGCACTGACAGATATCTGTGTGCTGGCATTCCGTCCTAGATCTACCTCTCTTGCCCCTGGCTCACGCTAAGACACGCCATGTGTTACGTACGTGTCAACAACGCTCGTGTTGGCGTGAAATAGGGCTTCTGATTCGTCGCATAAGACGTACGCAGTAGGATAGGAGTGAAACGATCCACGGTGCAGGTTTCAATCAATGGTCTCTTGGAATGTGTAGATACGGTTCACTGAGGGAGAAACATGCGAGGAGCCACATAAGCGGAGATTGCAACCCCTGCAAACGACTTTGCTGAATCCGAGTTCGCTTTTTCATGTGCGCTTTGAATCCAAGTCATTTTGTTGATTTTAATGACTGAAAAGAAAAGAACAAGGAATCCGTCCCCTTACGTTGAATCCAAGTTTTCAGCGCACTCGAGTTCGTTATATCCGAGTTTCACTTAATTCACAAGGTTAGATAGACATGACATGGGATATGTGCATGGGGACACTATTTTCTTTGGATCTGTTTGTTTACAAGGATGCACCCATTTCAAAATTCCACATCTTGATCAAATAAAAGATGTTGTTGATTCTCACTGTAGTGATAATGATTTGATTCTGTTCCCTGTTCTTTTTGTGCTTTGGTAACTTTTTATGTCAAAACAAACTTGCATGCCGGTATTGCTAGTAAGATACTACGTTCACTTTGCATTATACAGTAGGCTATTTTCTGTTCCGCATTAATAGTGACATATCTTCCATAACTGAATTCTGTTAAAGTAATTTAATGGGCTATCTCTATTGATTTTAATGTTGTGTATTATTACCAAAAAATGAGTTTCTTTGTCTGTCCCGCCAGTTAACGAAACTAAACACGTCACATAATTTGCAATAAGTACTTTTTCCCAAATGACTGCATTCAATCTCAATGTGTCTGACAACTGTTATGATCATTTGCAGTTTAAATAAATTACTTGTTATCGAATTAAAGAGTTACCATTGTAAGAAATTATAGTCCAAATGTCAGGTCAGTTACCGTGGAACAGCCCATATGGGAGTGGTCTAGGTAATTTCCCTGTTTGTTGTATCTCAACTCAAGGATCTCAGCAGTTTTCCGGGTTCACGATGTCTCACAAGTGGCTCTTTGACTTCTGTTGTGTGTTGCTTCTTGGCTGTTGCGCTCAAGGTAAATAGTTCATAGAACTGAAAAACAGACTATGGTATCATAATTGTCCTAAAAGGAAAAAAATGCACATCCGTGGTTAATTGAATAGTTCTACGGTACTTTTAATTATGTCGCGTTATCACGCCATATGAGATTATAAGAGCGCTATCTGATTTTTGTAGGATATTTCTAGTTACGGTTAGTTGTGGGTTCTAGCTTCAACCCACTGCACCGTGATCCGCGTTTTTGTGCCATCTGAAATGATTATTCTGTTCTGTAAAAAAATAAACTCGAGAGACGGATATATTATTTACCTTTTGAGTTTAAAATCCATACAAGTTGACAACTAATATCTTAAAAAATGTTTCAAATTCAGATACAACGCTTTTTAGCTATTAAAAGTGACTAATGACATTTTTCTGCGGTATTGTTTTTCCTTATCTCTGACTGTGACAGCAGTCTTGCCTAAATGGAACTTTGCCAGACAATCCTGACTTGGATAAATGTGCAGAGGAACTGGCCATCCTGACTTGCTTTGACCTGAGTTTCCGATCTAAAATACGGTGCCCATTGGCTGGATCGGTTCGATTTTGTTCGGTTCGGTTTAGTTTGGTCGTCGGGACAAGCCAGACTTTTCTCCATGGAGGGGTACAAGCTACCATAGTGACACAAGCCAAACGATACCAACGGTGATCTGCAAGTCGGGCCGTCAGTTTGAGGTAGGGGTCTATTTGTCCAAAAGCCAAACCGAACCGAACTGAACTGATCTGAACCGAATTGAACCTGGCTTCCAATGGGCACCGCCTTGGGGGGGGGGGGGGGGGGGCTACATGTGAAGGTTATCTCGCTTAATAGTTAATCAAATTTGACCAAATTTCACACATGTAACAAGCATAAAGAGGAGTCTTAAAATCCATAATCATTTTTTAAAAGTTTCCTTGCCATGGAGACGGTGGTCATATTGGATATTCATGACATGCCTTACGCAATGAATACTGCATTTATTTTTCATAGAAATGGGCAGTAAATTTACTTGCATGTTAGCAAACAATAGATCTACAAATTTTGCGGTTGAATTTTTCCTAAACGAATTAAACATTTTTAATGGATTTTTTTCCTGAGGTAGGATTCAAGTTTGCAAAATAAATCCGTGAAAATCCATACTCCGAGACATCACCAAACATGTTCATGCAGATTGGAAGAAAAAAACAGTGGAGTTATATATAAACGTATGAAGAAAAACTGCGTTTTGAGAAAACAGGCGTTGACTAATATGACAGGTATGTGGAAAAATCCTGCTTTGGTGGGGTTCTTATGCGATGAAATAGTTGTAAGAGAGACTGAAGGGGCCAAAATGCCTACAAAACTCAAAAGCCATAATTTTGAGTCGAATCGGAACTTTCAGGGAGTAGACACCCCCCCCCCCCTTTTTTTTTTTAAAGGAGAACAGCTGGCACGGACTAGCTAGTACTGTGAGAAGAGAGGGGTACATCGACACAATGACTGTCACTTGCTGCAGGAGAGAAGAAAAGAAAGAACAAGAGAAACAGAAAAGGGAACGGATGAAAGTACGGACAGGAGTGCAGGATGTTTGTGCGTGGGGGAGGGTATGTGTTTGTGAGAGTGAGTGTGTGTGTGTGTGTGTGTGTGTGTGTGTGTGTGTGTGTGTGTGTGTGTGTGTGTGAGTGAGTGTGTGTGTGTGTTTATATGTGTGTATTTGTACGCGCGTGTGTGGTAGTGTGGGGGTAAGATGGCGTATTTACACACAACCTAGCCTCTTGCGAAAAAAAAGGGGAGATACCCCTTCCCCCATGATATAAAAATTAAACAAAAAGAAACAAACTAACGGATTACTATGAAATAACAAATAACTAACAGAAAAATCAAAAAAACAAAACACGACCCCCCTTTTCCATTTCCGAGTCAACACGAATCGTATCATCTGACGTGTTGAACTATTATCCTACTTCTTTGTCGTATCTTGTTTGCCTTTCAAATTTCCCCATTAAAAAATACTATACAAAATGTGAATAAAACGGAACCAAATGCAATCTTTTATCTATCATTCTTTCCACCAATAAAAGCCATTCTTCTTGTTTTGTATTTCTTGAAGCATAACAATTTGTACCCTGTTGGCACATTTTTAGAGAACTTACAAATATCGGCACCAAAACGGGACACAGGAAAAATCCGCAAATAAACCGAAGCAAAATGCAATCCTTTATATATCAATCTTCGTACCAATGTCCAGGGGCGTGTCCTTCTATTGTGAGCAGAGCAGAATGGGGTGCCAGAGCTCCAAAAGCTGTGTCCTACCTATCTAAGCAACCTGTGAAGTACGCCTTTATCCACCATTCAGCCGAGGGCGAGTGTTTTTCCAGGGCAAATTGCTCGAGAGCAGTTCGAGGATATCAGAACTACCACATGGACTCCAAAGGTAACAATGTCTATTTATAGTAGGGTAGAGTATCCTATTTCGAAAGGCTTAACCTTTGAGCTCTCAGACGATTCGCAGTTATGTTTCTTATGAATACAAAAAAGCTATCAGTGGTCGTCTTGACAGTTTGGGGGGGTTGACATTTTTGGGGTTAAAATAATTTGATTTGGCAGAATAATGTCTTCTTTTAATATCGTATTATCAAGTTTATTACTATAATACACTCAATTTATCGACTGCTTCCTGCTAATCGTATGGAAACATTGCTGGGTAAGGGGAAGAAAAACACTACCGTTAATAACAATGTTAACATCCCTGTCGGCCACTATGTATCATGAAATGTTTAATTTGTGTTACATTTTAATTACATTTTTCATAAAGGAAATTTGTTTTGCTTTGTTACTAACAAGACTTTCACTTTCAGTCATTGTTTTTTGTTTTTTTTCCCTGTCTCTGACGCTCCCAGGATGGGATGACGTCGGCTACAGTTTCATGGTGGGCGGTAACGGCGATATCTTTGAAGGACGTGGCTGGGATAAAGTCGGTGCTCACACCTTTGGTTATAACACTGTCGGTTTAGGTGCGTACATAGCCGTGAATCCTATAATAACAGGGCTCACATTCGTCAAACCACTTATCGAGGGTTCAGTTCAAGAAACCTGTGTGCCATATTTGTTTTCTAAAATCGTCTTGTTTTGATATTAAGTGGCCGCAGATTTTTCTCCGTCACACATCTATTTGATGTGAGGATCAGACTAATGTCCAGGGGGGGCATCGATTTGAGAAAAATTCGGTATACGGGTATCTTGAACAGAACCATCGTAATGTAGTCTTTATATTTAGTTAATCAAACCGTTCGCTACTAATTTCTTGAATAAAATTTCAATTTCTCTGATAACTTTGTCATTGATAATAATTCTATTTTGTCCTTTCTGAGAGAAAAAAACTAATAATATCAATACAAATGGTAACACAACCAGCTGCATTATAAGCAGACGCACGGACAATAGCAATAGGGACAACGACAACAACATCAGTGTAAAAAAAAACCCATTACAATATTGACTTATTATGAACGGTCGAAAATAGTGCTCTATAGTGCGGTCAAAAATTCGTGGTGCGACTTATTTTTAAATATCTCCTCAACTATCGAACATACGTTCTCCAATTTTTGCACAGTGCCTTGTATCAATTTATCTTAACAGATTAATATTTTGTAAACACCTGCAAGCTGTATTCTAGAAAATTCCTTAATAAATACTGATAAAAAAATCCACATGCGTGCTTTCAACAGATTTTTAAATGTTTACAGCTGGGGTAATATAGCTTTTAATAGCAAGTTCATCAGGTTTTTCTTATCGGGGACAACATTGAACGCATGTTTTGAGAGCCATTAGTGCACACATTTTTAATGTGTTCACTATAACAATAATTTATTTGTAACAAGTTCTGCAAGTAAAAATTGTCATTGATGAGCTACGACGTTGGCCATATGCGTAATCAAAATGTGTGCGAGAAGCGGGAAGTGCTTTGAACAATACCATTTTACGCGTGACCAAGATTTCTAGTATTTTATTATACGTTTATGAAGAAAAGTATTTTAATCTAGCCACACTTGTTCTAGAAAAATATAATTTAGTTAAGACAAATTAATACAAACTGCTATGCAAAGTAAGGATGACATTGATTCTCCCGTAAAAGACATATTCGAAGATACGTTGCACCACGAATTTTTGACCGCACTATAGTTTAGTTCGTTCATATTAATTTTATTCTGTGTTATCGTCATTTTCACTTGGTCGCTTTTAAGCATAAGGAGGCTATCTTGAAAAATGATGTTTTAGGAAAATCGAAGATAAAGCTTTTCTCTGTAACCAAACAAATACACACCAGTGAAACCAAACTTCTCCTATAAGTCGGGCAATGCCCACTTTAGGTATAGGTCAAGATTTCAGGAAACCCCCAAAACCTGGGTAAGCCCGCTTGTCCTTAGAGCGACCATTTATCGTGGGGAAATAATAAGAGCAGATGCCACTGTCAACAATAGCTGTTAATCCATCCCAGTTCTAAATCAAAACAACCCTTAAAATAACCAAGTCAATCAAAAATTAAAAACAGCCCCCCCCCCCCCCCCCCCAACAAAAAAATAATACATAAAAGGAACGATAACCACAACAATATTAATAAAAACAACATCAACAACCATAACGACAACATCAACAACAAAAGACTTACCACAAGACAAACGTCATATTGTACCCCACCCCGACCCTCCCTATCCTTAAACCCTAACGGTAATAAAAAGAAATACATTTCAAATCAGAATACAAGATTCCACAAGTAAACAGATATAATCAAGCCTTTCTCGTTTCGTTTTAAGATAAGATGAGATTAGATAAAATGCATCTTTAGTCTCCAGATCCTGGCACATCGTTTTGTACTAATTCTCATTCCATCGACTGATATACGGATATTCCCTGCTTTTAAAGTGACAAAAGCCTAATCTGGAAAACAATGGAGTTAGTCTAAGATTGAAGAAAGCTTTCATATTTAAAAGGATTAGTATTTCGTGAAAGATGATTTTCGTTCCTCAGGGTTTTGCCTTTCTGGGAACTTCATGACTCACCTCCCCACAAAAGCCCAGATGGACTCCGTGAAGGCTTTGATCAAGTGTGGCGTGGACAAAGGCAAGATCGCCACCAACTACACCCTGAGGGGACACCGAGACATGGGGGCCACGCTCTGTCCCGGGGATAAACTCTACGCCGAGATCAAAACTTGGCCACATTACTAACACTTTTCTTGTCAATACATAATTAAATATTCCAGTAAACTATCGTCTCTCCCCATTTCGAACTGCTTCACATTATGCGCAACATGGCAACTTCCACAGTCATCGTAAAAGGGAGGGGGGTGTTAGCCGGGGTGCAGGGGGTGGTATCACACTGGGGTTGCAACTATGTCTCCGTGATTCTCCTTTTGCTGTCCATCGATATCAATGATGACTAAAGCGGTATGCGTGATACAGCTTTGCCTGGACAGTAGTCAAGTAGGGAGTAGATTTCCCAAGCATTGTTTCTCTCCATTCAGGTCTAGACTCCTTTGATATGCCTCAAAGGAATGACAGAGTCAATAAGTTTGGAATCAAGGGGGGGGGGGGAGAGGCTGTGTCTTACTATTTACAGATATATGATCAGATTAATCTTTATGGTACCGTTGGGAGTTTCCAAATTTTAGATTATGTCAGGGTGGTGGCAGGACTGCCTACTCTTCTAAATTTTCAACCACCAAGAGACCATTAATATTCACAAGATGCAGACAATATCTCTGAGGCTTTTCGTCCCGATTTGAAAAAACAAGATGCCCGATCTTATCAAATATGTCTTCAAAATAAATTATGGAACAGCAGACTGTGATAAAGGTTTACACAAGCTGCATGGTATTATTTTGTTAAAAGCATACTAACGAACTTTCTATAGATGAAAGCACGTAGGCGCAAAACAATCGTATTTAGAAAATGGCTGATCATTTCAAAAGCACGAACTTTTGGTGTCTGTTAGAGAATTGTGTGTAGGGTTTTAAAAAATCAAATCAAATAAATTAAATTAACAGCCAAGAATTGTATTCCTGGAGGGCTTAGAAATGTTCTAACTTTTGATTTCAAACCTTGAATTTAGGGAATTGTCAAGGTCAAAACAAATGAAGCGACACGACCAAAAACGACTGGATTACGAAAATAGCGAGATGTTTGAGCACATCGATTTCTGTAAGTAGAACAAAAGAATTTCAATGGGTGGTCGTGTTTATTTGGAGACAACCATACATCACTTTTTGAAAAAAGATTAAAGAAATGTAAAGAGCACATATATTATACACATTCAAATGTACACGGGCGGCTGTCGGCCTTTCATCCAATAGGTCAGGGGTTCAAATCCGGATAGCGACGGAAATGTTCGTTCTCTAAAAAATTGTCTCCTTTCACCTCCTTTCCTGCTCTCTATCAATATTCTGTCGTCTGCTTTCGTCTCCACTTTCTACCCCACTGCCCCCTCCACATTTCTGCAGCCTTTCTACTGCTATTCCGTGGCTCCTTCTTACTGCTGTCTTTCAGCCACACCCCTGATCTTATGGTAGGTAAGATCTACAGCTAATCTTCTCATACAAGGGCGGAAAATCTCGGAGGTCCCATGTGCCGGTTGCGCACGTTAACCTTGGTGGTCCAAAATCGACAAGAGCAGGCTTCGGCCGCCACCGGGGAAAATCCAAAATTTCCTACCAACTGAAAATGTTTAATGTGTCCCGCGCGCTCATATGATTGTATGTAGTTACGAACGCCGTAAAACACTTGCCAAAAAAGAGATATTTTTCTTTTTTAATAGAAAGCTGGTGGTCTGTACTGTCTTTTAAAAAAGCATATAATGGTCTTGGTCTACACCCTTTGGCAATAAAAAGTAGATACAAAAATATTATACTTTACTGATTTTAATGTAACAAATTTGCATTTCAACTGTTTGCATCGGCATCCATCATTTTATTGAAAATGTCTACTTTTACAACAAAGGGATGGTAACTTGTTCCCGGCTTGTGAAAGAAGTTTAAAGGTGGAAAGGAGAGAGGGCATTGGCAAGGTGGTGGGGTGAACTATTTAATGAGGCGTAATAGAAACAATTAATTGAAATTGTAAAAGATTAAAACTCATTGTAGAAAGATGTTACTACTTATGAGAACAGCCACAAGGAGAAACGAACACCCCAGCAAGGATATCGGGAAAATATAAAGCCCTCCTTGATTATAAATGGTCGCTTGCTTTTAAGCACAAGGGGGCTATCCCGAAAAATGCTGTTTTTAGAAAATCGAAGGTAAAGTTTTTGGACCCATGCAATCTATCTCAGCGAATATTTGCTTTCAAATGAATTATTCTGTGGTTCTACATATGACTCAGTTATAACCTTGAGTGCCCGATACCTATGAATTCCTGACAATTATTTACCCGATTAAAGAGAAATTAGACAAAAAAGTTGGGTTGGCTCAGTTGTGCAGATATGCAGAAAACGCTTTTGAAGCAAATCTGGCAGCGAAATGGGCCATGCCGTCCAAAACAAGCATGCTTTTCTATCTGGACTATTCCTGCATTGAAGTATAATGCAAAATCACATGGTTTATCTCCTGTGCAGTGGGCTAACCCAACAATTTTGTCAACTCTTTATCATTGGGTTAAGTGCTCTAGTCTATCCATGTGAGCAGTACATTTTATACATTTTATACCAAACAGATTGGTAATATCATATCGAACAGTACTCAAGTGAAAGCTAATACTGTACAGAAAAAAACTTGACAACAAAAATCTCACCTGATATGAGAATATCGCAGTCTTTGGGGTCATTTTCAACTGCGACATGCAGTGATACACTTCACTTGAGGTGTCATTTTGGGGGGTTAGCCCATTAATAAACGTTCAAAAGTCTGCAGTTTGCAGTTTCTTTAAAAGACAAGGAGAGTTTTCTCTATAATCAAATAAAATACACCAATGAAACCAAACTTATCCAAAGGTAGGATATCGCCCACTTTTGGAGTAGGTCAAGATTTCTAGAAAACCCCGAAATCTAGGTTAGCCTGCTCGTCCTTAAAAGCGACCAAATATCGGTGCACTCTCAACGTTGAAATCTGTCTACTTTCCTTAACTGTTCAAGCAGCCATATTTTTTCTATTTAGTTATTATTATTGCATTCTAATCTTACCATAATACCCTTCATAAGTGAGCGTCATCATCTTGGAAGAATAAGCGCATTGAGTAGGTTATGGTGATGAAGGCTTATCCCTTTAGAAGCTTAAGAAATCGATATTTAATGGTGCAATGGATTGGGATCGCTTATTCTCATGGCTCTACACCAGGAAATAGGGGCTGTTGACATCTCAAAAATGATTTTATCGAATTGTTTTGGATATTTCAAGGGGTAACATAATGGCTGTGGGGTGCTAAAAAAATCCTTCACCTTTTAATTTCAAGAGAATTATCCAAGTGTAACGAAATACAGATAAAGGCCGACTTGGAATGTTAGCAAAACATGTTTGTTAAAAACGTCACACTGGCCACGTTTTTCATAAATATATATTAAAATAGAGAAAATTGTAACGGGTCCTCTAGTACAGTTAAAGAAATCAATAATGAAGATAATTATAAGAATATTAATATACATGTGTAGTTGACTCAATTTGTGGTGATCTCGCATGAGTTGATATTCGGCCAAGTTGATCTATTTGTCAGGCCCAGCCCCCTTTTCTCTTTACAATTGTTAAAGTCAAACGGTTAAGTCGAGTTCAACACACCGTACAAAAGCTTGGGTTTTTTGGGTTGTTTTTTGTGGGGTGGGCGGGTTGTTGTTTTTTCCCGACTACAAATATTATTATGCAACGTATGTATTGAAAGAGTGGGTTTGTCGCAGAGATATAAATATGTTAGCACACAGATATTGTTAGTATTAACCGAGAATGGATGCTTGCAACCACTATCACCCCCGCCCCATCTCTCTCTCTCTCTCTCTCTCTCTCTCTCTCTCTCTCTCTCTCTCTCTCTCTCTCTCTCTCTCTTTCTCTCTCTCTCTCTCTCTCTCTCTCTCTCTGTCTCTGTCTCTGTCTCTCTCTCTCTGTCTGTCTCTCTCTGTCTGTCTGTCTGTCTGTCTGTCTCTCTCTCTCTCTCTCTCTCTCTCTCTCTCTCTCTCTCTCTCTCTCTCTCTCTCTGTGTGTGTGTGTGTGTGTATATATATATATATATACTGACGAGCAAAAGAAAGTGGGCACCCTCCGTTCTGTGCATTAGTTCCGTTCTTTGCCGTTGTAATGCCAATGTATTTTGAAAGGCTTGCCATTTTCTCAATAAGTGCAGACAAAAAGACTAAGAAAAACGATCAAAAGCACACCTTTTATTTGAAATTAATAACTCCTATAACAAGGGCACCAAAAATGCAATATTCACCTTAACAATGTTAATGGAAAGATGAACTGAAGCATGAAAGTTCTGTATTTATACTTCATAGATTATTCAAAGGCGTTCGATAAAGTAAGACAGTTGAGCTATTTGAAATACTGGAAATGCTAGACATAGAGGGAAAAGATCTAAGAATTATCAGGAATTTGCTCAGGGACCAAAACACTGCTGTACGAGTTAATGGAGAATACAGTGAATATAAGGAGATTAGAAAGGGAGTAAGACAAGGATGTGCTATGTCACCAGACCTCTTTAATATGTACGGTGGAACAATCCTTAAAACATAGAAGAATGTCAAGGTTTCAAAGTTAAGGGCAAAAATATTAACATCAGATGTGTCGATGACACAGTTTTAATAGCAGACTCAGAAAAGGATCTTCAATCGCTTCTAGATGTTGTTGTTACAGAAACTAAGTTGTACAGTTTGTTTTTAGGATCACCTTTTATCTTCATTTTTCCACCAGATGGCATCCAGGCAATCCTTGCTACAGCTATTAAATTAGAAGAAAAACTCCACCTTCCAAGTAACAGACAGATGCTGAAACTTTTGAGACAAGAACTCACCCCCAAACACAAGCATCAAAACCCACCAACATTAAAACTTCCCTCATAAAAGAGACAGTAAAAAAGAATGTGACCTGGCAGAAGTGAAGACCACAGTTTATCTTACCAATTTACTCCTAACCGAATGATTCAGTATATATTTTTACACTGACGAGAACTATATCCCCAGGCTTTGGTGTAAAAATTGAAATCCTGACTAGAAATTTGAAGAATTATCTCTAGATTGTGGAACTTCGTGTACGAGTTATGAGGCAGAGACCAAAGCAATCTTCCAGCTGTTCAACACATT